TCTTTCAAATAAATAAAATAAATTTTTAAAAGAAAAACAATCAAACCAAGTTTTCATACCTTAGCTAGCTATATATAGTTTAGATATTTATTTATTTATTTGAAAGAGTTACACAAAGAGAGAAGGAGAGGCGGGGGAGGGAGGGTCTTCCATCCGCTGGTTCATTCCCTAGATGGCTGCAACAGCCAGAGCTGCACCAATCCGAAGCCAGGAGCCAGGAACTTCTGTCTCTCTCATGAGGGTTCAGAGGCCCAAAGACTTGGGTCATCTTCCACTGTTTTCCCAGGCCATAGCAGAGAGCTGGATCAAAAGTGGAGCAGCCTGGACTTGAACTGGCGCCCATATGGGATGCTGGCACTGCAGGAGGTGGCTTTACCCACTATGCCACAGTGCCAGCCCCATCTAGCTATTTTACAAATTGAATTCAGAAAGTGAGATGATTGGCATGACACATATTAACACATTCATTTTTTTTAATATTTATTTATTTATTTGAAAGGCAGAGCTAGAAAGAGCAGAGACATCTTTCATGTGCTATTCACTCCCCAAATGGACACAACAGGCAGAGCAGAGCTGACCCGAAGTCAGGAGCCAGGAGTTTCCTCCAGGTTTCATACGTGGGTGCAGAGGCCCAACCATTTGTGCCATCCTCCACTGCTTTCCAGTGCATTAGTAGGGAGCTGGATCAGAAGTGGAGCACCCAGGACTTGAACTGACACCCACATAGGATTGCAGGCGGCAGCTTTACCTGCCATGCCACAGCACTGGCCCCAACACAGTCATCTGAATTAAAAAATTAAGTCAGATTTTTGAAAAAAATATAAAAATGATGATCCTGGAAGGCTTGACAGCAACAATGCCAGAATCTCATATCCGATGTGGCATCCCACATCAGAGTGCTAGCTCAAGTCCCACCAACTCCGCTTTTGACCCAGCCTCCTGCTATGCACTTGGGACAGCAGCAGCAAATACTTGTGTCATTGCCACCCACATGGAAAAATCTGGATGGAGTTCCTACCTCCTGGTTTTGGCCTGGCCCAAAGGTTGAAGTTATTTAGGGAGTGAACAAGCAGATGGAAAATCTGTCTCTTCCTCTCTGGCCTTACTAATTCAGTTATGTAGTAGTTAAATTCCATAAAACAAGTAAATGCAGTAAACAGAATTCAAAGATGGCCCCCAAGTCTCTCACCCACTTATATAAATGCCCAGCATAGTCCCCTCTCCTTAAGCATGGGCAGCACCTGTGAATATGATGGGCTATCATTCCTGTGATTAGGTCTCTACATGGCAAATTCCTGTGATGAAGTCACCACAGCCACTAGTCAACTGACTTTTGAGTTGATCAAAAGGGAGTCCTATGGGCCGGCACTGTGGCGCAGTAGGTTAATCCTTCACCTGTGGCGCCAGCATCCCATATGGGTGCCGGTTCATGTCCCTGCTGCTCCTCTTCTGATCCAGCTCCTTGCTATGGCCTGGAAAAGCAGTAGGAAACAGCCCAAATGCTTGGGCTCCTGCACCTGTGTGGAAGACCCAGAAGAAGCTCCTGGCTCCTGGCTTTGGATAGGCCCAGTTCTGGCCGTTGCAGTCATTTGGGGAGTGATCCAGCAGATGAAAGACCTTTCTCTCTGTCTCTTCCTCTCAATGTCTATAAACTCCACTTCTCAAATAAATAAAAATCTTTAAAAAAAAAAAAAGGGGGGGGGGGGGGGCGTGCAGTCCTGACCTAATCAGGTGAATCCTTTAAAAGTGGATCTAGAAGTACAAGACAAGAAGTAGCAATTTACGCATTTCTGTCAACCTTGCTATGCTAAGGGCTGTTTAGCAAGGAATGGCGGCAGCCTTTGGGAACTGAGGGTATCAATCCTGTAACTGAAAGGAAATGAATTGTGTCAATAATCTTATGATTATTCAGCTTGGGAGGAGAGATCAAGACTCAAATGAGAGACCAAAGCCTCAAACAAAATCTTGATTTCAGACTTGTAAGATGCCAACAGAAAACCTAGCTAGGCAGTTCCAAGACTTCTGACCTACAGAAACTGTGAGATATAAATGGGTATTGTATTAAGCCACTATGTCTATGATAATTTGTTATCCATCCAATACAATGAGCTAGAACTGTAGCTCCAAGGACTCAATAAAAACATATTTAAGAACGAGATATGGGGCCAGTGATGTGGTGTAGTGGGTTAAGCCACCACCTGCAGTGCTGGCGTCCCATATGGGCACAGGTTCAAGACCTGGCTGCTCCACTTCTGATCCAGCTCCCTGTTAATGCATGTGGGAAAGCTGCAGAAGAGGCCCAAGTGCTTGGACACCTGTGCCCATGTGGGAGACCTGGAAGAAGCTCCTGGCTCCTGGCTTCCACTTGGCCCAGTCCCAGCTATTGTGGCCATTTAGGAAGTGAACCAGCACATGGAAGACCTATCTTGCTTTGTCTCTTCCTCTATCTATATATAACTTGGCCTTTCAAATAAAAAAAAAAAATCTTTAAGAAAAAAAGGCTGAGATAAATTAAAAAGGCATTTTATCAATATATATTGTATTGGTCACAGTGTAATGAAATTAATATTATTTTTACCATCCAATTTTTTTGGATACACTGAATTAAACAAAGGACCTCTAAGTAAAAAAGTTAAAAAAGTAAGCTATAGTTATTATTTTATAAGTCCTAGAAAAGCCAACAAATGAAAAAGCAAATAACTCTAAAAACCAGGTAATGAATTATTTTCCAACTCAGGTGATTTCCAACTTCTTGCTTTAAACAAAATTAAAGGAGAACCTAATTAAGTTGCTGGTTAAGAAATCATCAAAAGCAAACTTTGATGACAGGTATACTATGTAATTTTAAACAGTCATATAATTTGAAGTTAAAAACTGGATTTGGTATCTTTAAATGTTTCTTCTATTTATGTAACAAAAGTTCTTAGGATTTACATCTATAAAAATGGAAACAGGAAAACAACTGATGCTAAAACCTGATTTACTAGAGCAAGACCCTATCTCATTATAACAATAAATAATATTTGCTCATGAAACATGAACTAAAAATCATACAGAGTATACAGATATTATTGAGATATGCATATTCAATATTCATATGGTTGGTTCTAGGGGAAATTTTTAAAAATTCAATATTAGACTTTTTATTCTTATAAGAAGTATAAATACAAAGGAGAGATAAAAGACTTTTAAATATATATATATATATAAAACACACATGTATGTGGGGGAAGTGGAATGAAAAGTCACAGGGATAAAAAGTAAAATTATCAACTGTTAAAGAAGCACTCTGACATGTATTTTTAGAGATTTTTATTGATTTGAAAGGCAGAGTTATAGACAGAGAGAGAGACAGAGAAAGGGAAAGAGCTTCTATCAACTGGTTCATTCCCAACATGGCCACAATGGCTGGGGCTGAGCCAGATCATAGCCAGGATCCTGGAACTGGCATTTTAGATGGCAAGGGCCCAAGTGCCTGCACCATCTTCTGCTGCTTCTCCAGGCACATTAGTAGGGAGCTGGAACAGTACCGAAGCAGCTGGAACTTGAACCTGCACTCATATGGGATGCTGCTGTTGAAGGTGGCAGTTTAAACCCCTGTACCAGAAGGCAGGCCCCAACATGTGCATTTTAAAAGGATGGCAGGTATAAAACTATTTGGGTATTTAGATTGCATTACATACACTTAAAAGACTGATGGAGGGGTCAAGGTTGTGGCATACTGGTTTAAGCCTCCATTTGCGATGCCAGCATCCCACTTGGGTGCCGTTTCAAGTCCCAGCTGTTCTGCTTCCAATCCAGCTTCCTGCTAATGTACCTGGGAAAGTAGCAGAAAAATGGCCCAAGTACCCCTGCACCCATGTTGGAAACCCTGATGAAGCTCCTGGTTTCAGCCTGGCCCAACCTTGGCCACTGTGGCCATCTAAGGAGTGAACAAGTAGATGGAAGATCTCTGTGTGTGTATCTCTGCCTGTCAAATAAATAAATAAATCTTAAAAAAAAAAAAATGACAGAAACGTTTTACAACTTCACTATTTATAACACATACAAAATCATCCTCTGAAAGTATTTACAATGAAACAATGAAAATTGTTAAATATCAATGGAAAAACATGCAGGTTTTGTGAAATTCTTTGGGGGATATGCAGGGAAAGAAATTAGAAAATTTCTACTTGAGGAGAAAGAACAGAGAAGCTGCAATGTGTGGTATGAGAGAGGGAAAGGATGATAACTAGGTTGCTGGCTCAGGAACTGGGTATATCATTTATCCTGGAGATGTAGGTTTTTGGGAGAAAATAACAAGTCTGGGTTATGTTGTGAACACCTGTGAACATCCCCATGGAACTCTTCAAAAAACAAGACAGATGTAGCAGTTTTAGATAGACTTCAAGGAAAGGTCTCTTCAAGAAGTTTTACTATAGGGTCCGACACTATAGGTGACGGCATAGCGTCATCTGCTGTCTGCAGTGCCAACATCCCAGATGGGTGTTGGTTTGAGTCTCAGCTGCTCCACTTCTGATCCAGCTCTTTGCTATGGCCTGAGAAAGCAGCAGAAGATGGCCCCAGTCCCTGGACCCCTGCACCCAACCTACATGAGAGTTCCAGAAGAAACTCCTGGCTCCTGGCTTCGGATCGGCCCAGATCCAACAGTTGCAGCCATTTGGGAAGTGAATCAGCGGATGGAAGACCTCTCTTTCTGTGCCTCTGCCTCTCTCTAACTCTGCTTTTCAAATAAATAAATAAAAATCTTAAAAAAAAAAAAAAAGACATTTAACTATAAAGGTTCAAATGACTTTAAAGGGCCAGTTAGGTGATTATTTAGGGAAGGGTGTTGCAGGCAGAAGATACATCATCTACAAAGTTGTGAGACTAGGAACAAGGAAGCCAGTAAAAGGCAGGAGTAGATCAGACAAGAAAGGGTAGTAAATAAAGTAAGAGCATTACAAGGCATGAGGGACAGCACCAGAACATACAAGAGCTAGCCACTGAAAGGACTTTGGTTTTTTTTTTTTTTTTTAAAGATTTACTTGAAAGAATTACACAGAGAGAAGGAGAGGCAGAGAGAGAGAGAGAGAGAGAGAAGTCTTCCATCCGCTTGCTCATTGGCCACAATGGCCAGAGCTATGCCGATCAGGAGCCAGGAGCCAGGAGCTTCTTCTGGGTCTCCCATGCGGGTGCAGGGGCCTAAAGACTTGGGCCATCTTCCACTGCTTTCCCAGGCCATAGCAGAGAGCTGGATTGGAAGAGGAGCAGCCGGCTCTCAAACCGGCACCCATATGGGATGCCGGCGCTTCAGGCCAGGGCATTAATCTGCTGCACTACAGCGCTGGTCCCAGAACTTTGACTTTCATTCAAAGAAGCACTAAGTTCTTAAGAAGAGTGACACAATCTCACTTTACTGTGTTGAGAGGAGATGGAATGAGGCAAAAGTAGAAGAGAGGTGAACAACAACGAGGCTGTCTCAATACTCTAGGAAACTGATGATGACTTGGCTCCAGGTGATAGAAGTGGAAAAGTACAAAATGATGTCTGAATATAGTTGTAATGTGAAATAGAGCTGAAAGGATTCGCTGACAGATTAGAAGTATGACATGAAAAAAAGAATTAAAGCATAGCTACAGATTTTCAGTTTGGGCTGGCATTGTGGCACAGCGGGTTACGTGGCTGCTTGGGTTACCCAGATCCCATATCAAGTGCCTAAGGTCAAGTACTGTGTCGGGTTCCAATCCAGCTTCCTGTTAATGTACACCATGTACATTATGTACATTAATGTACACTTCATTCCCTGCTACCCATGTGGAAGACCCCAGTGGAGTTCCTGACTGCTGATTTGAGCCTATCCCAGCCCCACTAGGGCAGTAAACCAGCAGATGGAAGATAATCTCTCTTTCTCAATCTGCCTTTCAAATAAATAAACTTTAGAAAAGACTTTTAGTTTGAGCAACTAGAAGGATGAATAGCCTCTTACTGATAAGGGAACCACTACAAAAGGAGCAAGTTTTGGGGGGAAGGAGGGATGTCATTATTAGTTGAGATATCTAGCATGTCTATGTGGAAGCATTCAGAAAAAAGACAAACATCCCAATGTAGGAGAGATCAAATTTGGAAATCATCAGGTACAGATGATACGTGAAACAGTGAGGCAGAGTAGAATATCTAGGAGAATGAGTGTAACTATAAGTCTAAAAACTAAACTCTGGGGAGGTCAGAATGAGGTGACTGGGAAAATAAAGAGGAACATGAAAGGAGAAGACCCAAAGGAAAATGCAGAGAAAACCAGGAGAGTCTGGTGTTCTGAAAGCCAAAGGAGGAAAGGATTTCAAGGAGGAAGAGATCAACTGTAACGTGCCTCTAAAAAGTCGATTTAAAAACTACAATAGTGCTTTGGAAAGGAAGAGATACTGTTTTGAGTTTACAAAATCATTTAATGTAGTGGGGTATAGAAAACTACTTGAACTAATACTAGTGCTCATATATCCAGATCTTACTGGTATTTGCACTGTGTTGCTTCACTCCTACACAATAACATATGAATTACTGACTGCATTATACAGTTCAAAAGCTTACTACTGAGCTGGCGCCGTGGATCAATAGGCTAATCCTCCACCTTGCGGCGCCGGCAAACCGGGTTCTAGTCCCGGTTGGGGCGCCGGATTCTGTCCCGGTTGCCCCTCTTCCAGGCCAGCTCTCTGCTATGGCCAGGGAGTGCAGTGGAGGATGGCCCAGGTGCTTGGGCCCTGCACCCCATGGGAGACCAGGAAAAAGCACCTGGCTCCTGGCTCCTGCCAGGATCAGCGCGGTGCGCCGGCTGCAGCGGCGGCCATTGGAGGGTGAACCAGCGGCAAAAGGAAGACCTTTCTCTCTCTGTCTCTCTCTCTCACTGTCCACTCTGCCTGTCAAAAAAAAAAAAAAAAAAAGCTTACTACTTACTATCATGTTTTTATGTAAAAGAAGAAAAGAATTTCAGGTTGTTAATTTTTAACATTTCTATATCACATAATGCTAAATCTATTAGTCCCATTAAAATTCCTTGCTGATCCAAATATGCAGGCTAACAGAGGATATAATCAAAGTACTATTCCCTTGAACAAGAGGCTATGGTTAATATAAAAGACATATATTTGATTTATGTCAAGTGGTAATATAGGTAATGCTTTGGCTACTCAGCATAAAACACTTTAATGGAATATTACTGCTCCAAATATACCATACCAAAATTAAACTGAAAATAGAAGGCGACTACTAAATCATGGCTGACAGGGAGCCAACTGCAGCAAGTTAAAACGCATTCCTAATGCTCATCCAGTACTGGCTGAACCCCTTGAGTCAGTTTGGGTCATTATTAGTTTGGAGTAATTCCAAATGACTCCCTCGAGTTCTACTGTTACATTTAGTGGCTTTAAGAAATCCAGATCTGGCCTTATGTCAAAACAAAAACAAAAATTAAAAAAAAAAATCATAGGATGTCTTACTAGTTTCTTGTTTAGACTGATATTTCCAAACACGATTCTAATCAGGTTAATCTAATTACTTCGGTGTATAAATGATAACTCCACAGTAAGTACTTCTTATTCTCAATTAGAGACACTAACTAGGTCTACCTATATATAGTCTACCACAGTGGCCTTATCTCCTTTTTTGGTTTGTTTTTTAAAAACAAGTCCTGTTCCTATCCTTCCCTCTGTTCAAAATCTCTCCCTTTCTCTTGTTAATTCCAACTGATCTTTCAGATAATTGTTTACTTCTTTTTCTATCTCTCCCAGGCCTCTGCCACAGCCATGTGGGATGCAAGCTTTGTGACAGTAAGGGCCTTGCTAGGTCCTCATGACCAAGAACAGACACTAGACACTCAGTAATTTATTTTAATATATCCTCCAGAATTCAGTACATCTTAAAGAAGGCTTCTTTGACTCCATTACACACCAGTGACATTAATTTTATTTTCTCAAATCACCCTATACTTTTCTTGTTGGCCCAAGGAAAGATCTCCTGTCATTTTGGGACCAGCACTGTAGCATAGTAAGCTAAGCCTCCGCCTGCCATGCCGGCATCCAATTAGGTGTCGGTTCATGTCCCAGCTACTCCTCTTCTGATCCACCACTCTGAGATGGCCTAGGAAAGCAGTAGAAGATGGCCCAAACGCTTGGTCCCCTTCACCCCCGTGGGAGACCCAGAAGAAGCTCCTGGCCCCTGGCTTCAGATCGGCTTAGCTCCGACTGTTGCGTCCATTTGAGAAGTGAACAAGCAGATGGAAGACCTTTCTCACTGTCTCTCCCTCTCTCTAAGTCTACCTCTCAAATAAATAAATGAAATATTAAAAAAAAAAAAAAGATCTTGTGCCATTTTCTAAAACAAACTTCTGAGACACAGGCACAAAGGCAGAAACACGGGGCTGATGCTGTGGTGTAGTGGGTCAAGCTGCCGTCTGCAGCACCAACATCCCACATGGGAGTTAGTTCAAGTCTGGCTGCTCTACTTTCAATCCAGCTCCCTGCTAATGTGCCTGGGAAACAGCAGAGGATGGCCCAAGTACTTGGGCCCCTGCACCCACGTGGGAGACCCAGATGAAGCAAGCTCCTTTCTCATGGCTTCAGCCTGGCCCAGGCCTGGTGGTTGTCATCTGGAGAGTGAACCAGCAGGTGGAAGATCTCTCTCCTCTCTCTGTCTCTCCCTATCTCTCTGTAACTCTTTCAAATAAACAATTCTTTAAAAAAAAAAAAAAAGGAATTAAAAAAAAAGGCAGAAACACTAAACCGCATCAGATTTTACATACGCGTTTCTGAATCAAAGCTCCTAGTTTTTCTTTGCCATAGATTGCTATTAATTAATCCAGACATTCTCTCACATCTCTTGCCTTTTAGATAGCTATCTACCAGCAAATTATCATGGGATGGAGAGATTCATATTTAACCTGAATCAAATTAGACTCAGTAACAAAATAACTCAACCAATTCTTTCTGGCTCTCTCTGACATTTCCAACTACAGATGGTAAGACAACAGACATTTTCTTTTCCATGGATAGCTTGGTTCAGAACAATTACAGAAAGGACATCTACAAAGGAAGGATCAGGGACTGAAAAATCTGATTAAATCATTTTCAGATAGAGTGGGTATTTAACATAGCATTGAAGACACTTGTGTCCTGCATCAGAGCACGTGAGTTCAATCTGGGCTTCAGCTCCTGACTCCAGCTTTCCAACAATGCAGATCCTAGGAGGCACTGGTGATGGTTCAAGTGATAAGATTTCTGCCACCATGTGAGAAGCCAGGATTGCGTTCCTGACTTTGGGAGCTCCCGACCCATGAGCCAGGAGCTTCATCGGGGTCTCCCACATGGGTGCTGGGGCCCAAATACTTGGGCCATCTTTCGCCACTTTCCCAGGCCATTAACAGGGAGGAAGATTGGAAATGGAGCAGCTAGGACAAGAACTGGTGCCCATATGGGATGCCAGTGTCACAGGTGACAGCTTTACCTGCTATGCCACAATGCCAGCCCCACTCTGTATGTTTTTAAATGCCTACGTGAGGTTGTGCTTTATAAATAAAGAACAAATAAGCAAAAAGGTAAAGAACAATATTTCTATTTCCAAAAGTACTTTGCCATAAATCTAATTTTTCAACTTTTGTGTTTCTACATAGTGAAATGAATACTCACTGTTTTTGAAAAAAACCCTTCCATTTTCAACATCAACAATGGTGCTTTAAAAAATAAATACATACTCATAGAGACATGCACACATGAGCATACATACACATGGGAACTTCAAAAAGTTCATGGAAAATAAATAAGCCATAAGTTTATTTTTGCGCAAAAAATTTCTGACGGATGGGCATTTGGCATAGCAGTTAAGATACCACTGGGATAACTGTATTTCATATTGGAGTATCTGGTTTAAGTCTTGGCTACTCAGCTTCTAATCCAGCTTCCTTCTAATGTGCATCCTGGGAGGCAGCAAATGATGGCTGACATACTTAGATCTTTGCCACCTATGCTGGTGACCCAGATTGGGTTCCAAGCACCTGGCTTTAGGCTGGCCCAACACTGGCTGTTGCAGGTACTTTTGTGGGAATCAGCTAATGAATGGAAGGTCTCTCTCAATCTCTGCCACTCTTTTTTGTTTTAAAGATTTATTTATTTAAGTGAAAGGCAGAGTAACAGAGAGGGAGGAAGAGGTGGAGAGATAGAGGTCCATTCGCTGATTCACTCCCCAAATGGCTGTGACAACTAGGGTCCGGCCAGGACAAAGCCAAGAACCAAGAACTACATCCAAATCTCCCACAAGGCTGCAGGGACCCAAAGACTTAGGTCATTTTCTGATGCCTTCCCAAGTGCATTAACAGGCAGCAGGACAGGAAGTAGAGCAGCTGGGACGCAAACTGGTGCCCATATGGGATATCAGCAACATGGGCTACAGCTTAACTTGCTATATACCACAATGCTGACCCCACTCTTTTTTAAAATATACATATATATTTATTTATTGACCCGAAAGGCAGAGTTACAGAGAAGCAGAGGCAGAGATAGAGAAAGTCCTCGCCGGCACCGCGGCTCACTAGGCTAATCCTCCACCTTGCGGCACCGGCACACCAGGTTCTAGTCCTGGTCGGGGCGCCAGATTCTGTCCTGGTTGCCCCTCTTCCAGGCCAGCTCTCTGCTGTGGCCAGGGAGTGCAGTGGAGGATGGCCCAGGTGCTTGGGCCCTGCACCCCATGGGAGACCAGGAAAAGCACCTGGCTCCTGGCTCCTGCCATCGGATCAGCACGGTGCGCCGGCCGCAGCGTGCCGGCCGCGGCGGCCATTGGAGGGTGAACCAACGGCAAAGGAAGACCTTTCTCTCTGTCTCTCTCTCTCACTGTCCACTCTGCCTGTCAAAAAAAAAAAAAAAAAAAAAGAGAAAGTCCTCCATCCACTGGTTCACTCTCCAAATGGCTGCAACAGCTGGAGCTGGGCTGATCTGAAGCCAGAAGCCAGGAGATTCTTCTGGGTCCCCCACGCAGGTTAGGGGCCCAAGGACTTGGGCCATCTTCTACTGCTTTCCCAGTCCAAAGCAGAGAGCTGGATTGGAAGTAGAGCAGCTGGGACTCGAACTGGCGCCAACATGGGATGCCAGCACTGCAGGCAACAGCTTTATATGCTATGCCACAGCACTGGCCCCTCACTCTGTCTTTAAAATACAATGAAAAATAAGAACCTTCTAAAAAGTACTTAAAAAAAACTTTTGAAATCCATGCACAGTTTTTTCATACTATGTATTTTCCATGAACTCAAGACTACCCAGGTCTCCCATGTGGGGAGCAGGGACTCAGGCACTTGAACTATACTCCTCTGCTTTCCTGCCACATTAATAGGGAACTGGATCGGAAACAGAACAGCCAAGTGCTACAACATGGAATGCTGGATTGCAATTGGCAGCTTAACCCACGGGGACACAACATTGGCCCCCAAAACTTACTCTTTTATGTTCTTGCAGGAAGTTAACTAATTTTGTATCTAACCTAACAATCTGAGCTCAGTACTCTTTTATTAAATTGTCTATAAGTACTTACCTCCTCAAAGTTTCTCATGAGCAGCTTTGACATTTTACTAGTTCTCTAAGTAATAGGTTGAATCAAAACCAATGACACGTGTCCATTGACATTTGCACAAAAATCATGATTTTACCTTTCTGAAAGCTGTATTTTAACAATTTCAGAGACACTGCATTATGTCACACTGGGTTAAGCCTCAGCTTGTGATGACAGCATTGCATACTGGAGCACCAATTTGAGTCCCAACTGCACTGCCTCAAATCCATGACCCTGCTTAGACACCTTGGAAGACAGCAAAAGATGACCCAAGTATTTGAGCCCTATCACCATGTGGGAGACCAGGATGGAGTTCATGGCTCCTGACTTCATTCTGTCCCAGCCTCAGCCATTGCATACATTTAGGGAGTGAACCAGCAGATGGAAGATCTCTTTCTCTCTCTGTCCCTCCAGCTTTCTCTGTCATTCTGTATTTATATATATATATATATATATATATGTGTGTGTGTGTATGTGTATATATATATATAATATATATATATATTTTGGAAGTTCCACCAAGACACCCAAGTGGACTAACTTGATAGAGTCAATTAAACTACATTACTCACTTCACACACACATAAATACTCCTTACAGAACTTGGAACTCAGAAATACTATTTCATTTTCATGAAACAAAACATCATAATTTAGAATTTTCAGTCTAGGTGATAAACACCTTTAAACAAGGGCCTTTACTTTTTAAAATCCACCTTTGTATTCTTAAGATCCAGTATGGTATCAAGAACCTAAAATGTGTTCAGTAAACACTAAATGAATCAAAGAAGCTGGAATACACCACATGCTCCATGGTAACACCAACAAAAGAAAAAAATATTACAGTAAAATCCGGGTAGTTTTATATAGCTAGTCAACTGCAGAAAGGAAGCGAAATTCTAGATGCTTGAAATGTAAAGGCAATCTCCCCAGAAGTGGCAGAAATCCTCACTGTGCAAAGACATGGTTACAGACACCACAATTTGAAATTTTCAGCAAAAGAAGAATGAACTTCAAGTCCCTTAAGAGCTACAACTTGGGGCCGGCGCTGTGGTGTAGTGGGTTAAAGCCATGGCCTTAAGCGCCAGCATCCCATATGGGCGCTGGTCCTAATCCCATCCAGCTCTCTGCAATGGCCTGGGAAAGCAGTGGAGGATGGCCCAAGTCCTCAGGCCCCTGCACCCACGTGAGAGAGCTGGAAGAAGCTCCTGGCTTCGGATCAGCGCAGCTCCAGCTGTTGTGGCCATCTGGGGAGTGAACCAGCAGATGGATGACCTCTCTCTCTCTACCTCTCTCTGTAACTCTTTCAAATCTCTCTGCTGTGGCCCAGGAGTGCAGTGGAGGATGGCCCAAGTGCTTGGGCCCTGCACCCCATGGGAGACCAGGAGAAGCACCTGGCTCCTGCCTTCGGATCAGCGCGGTGCGCCAGCCGCAGCGCACCGGCCGCGGTGGCCATTGGAGGGTGAACCAACGGCAAAGGAAGACCTTTCTCTCTGTCTCTCTCTCTCACTGTCCACTCTACCTGTCAAAAAAAAATCTTTAAAAAAAAAAGAAAAAAGAGCTACAACTTTTAGCAGACACTACAAACCCACATGTTGCAATGTCTCCAACACCACAAAATGATATAATCCAGATTACTCTGACCAAAAATTTTCCAAAAACATAAAAAATGCACCTCAGTTCTATAAGAGCAAGTTAATAAGTTTTTTTTTTTGTTTTGTTTTGTTTTTTGGTTTTTTTTTGGACAGGCAGAGTGGACAGTGAGAGAGAGAGACAGAGAGAAAGGTCTTCCTTTGCCGTTGGTTCACCCTCCAATGGCCGCTGCGGCCGGCGCATCGCGCTGATCCGAAGGCAGGAGCCAGGTGCTTCTCCTGGTCTCCCATGGGGTGCAGGGCCCAAGCACCTGGGCCATCCTCCACTGCACTCCTTGGCCACAGCAGAGAGCTGGCCTGGAAGAGGGGCAACCGGGACAGAATCTGGCGCCCCGACCAGGACTAGAACCTGGTGTGCCGGTGCCGCAAGGCGGAGGATTAGCCTAGTGAGTCGCAGCACCGGCCTCTAAGTTTATTTGTTTGTTTGTTTGTTTGTTTGTTTTTGTATTTGCCTCAAAAGACTAAACTTTCTTAGATGTATTTATTTCTTAGGCATAGACAATACCATAAATGTAGCATATGACAACATAGTATCCACATAAGGTACCTATATTCCAGGAAACAAGTAGGACATACAAATGCAAAGTAACAGTACCAAAGCAATGTACTAGAATGGGATGCTAGCCCTAGCTTTGTTTCCAGCTCAATCTGAAAAATTAATCTGTATCAGTACATGAAGAATTATTAGAGTCAAAGCTACCAATTAAGTAAATCATGCAACACCCACTCCAATGCCATTTGCTACCAGAAAGTACTAACGGTTATACACCTGTGTCCCAATGCTACCCATAAGGCCTGCCTGACAACCGCACTCACACTTCTGTGTGGCAGCAGGGCTAATTAATATCTAAGCATTTCCCTCTTTTTAATTTAGGCCAGGTTTCATTATCACTACTCAGCACACTTTCCATTTCTTTCCCTTTCTGTACAGAACTGGGCTGTACATGGAAGAATAGTCACTTTAATGTCCCGCTTTAGCACTTGCTCTAACAGTGAAATAACTCTGCAGCCCCCTCAGTCACCTCCACCAAGTTCTCTAAAAACACAGGACTTGGTGTTTGCTCCACGAGAAGCAGCAACAAGTCTTTGTGAGAAGGAAAATCTGAAACTTCAAATGCATGAGGACAATGTTTTTACCTTTAAAACACATGTCTTACTTTCATTTATGAAACTGAATGTGCAAAGACTTATTTTCCAAGCGCTGTCTTTTACATTTTTATTATTTTATATTCCTTCTTACTTGGCACAGAAGGCAGAAGGGACTAAGTTTGCATCAAGGGCAAAGGGAGCCCACGTTCAGCTGCCATTTACGGCCTTCCAATGTGCTTGGACCTCAAAAAGGATTTCTTATAAAAATGACCGTGTGATTAGTAATTAAAATCACAGAGGAAGCCTGACGCCGCGGCCTCCTGAAGAGATGCGCCCTAGCAATGCACTCAAACTCCAAAGATGGATTTCGATGAGCTTGCCCCTGGTTTGTTCCTTAAAATCCCTCCGAGTCCTCCATCGCACCTAGGGAAGACACGCACGGAATTCTTTAAGGGAAATCTTCTGTAAGACACCTTTGGCAGGAAGCGGGAGGCGCTTTAAGTTCACCTTGAGAGCTGCAAAGGTGAGAATCCTGACTCACTGACATTCACACACGGGCTAAAGAGCCGGGCTACCAAAAAACAAAAACAAAAAAGCTCTGCCTCTCCGGCAGTGGGACCCTTAGACCAGCACACTGCCTACGGGGGGCTGCCCCCCAAAGTCATTACCCCGCCCCCAAAAGGTGTTTTTGTTTCAGAAACTGTCTGAACGCCAGCGGGACCTTCTCGTGCCGAATTCAGCCCGAGGACAACAAATTGGTCAACGGCGGAAGTTGCCTTTCGAAACGACTGCAACATGAAATCCAGTTTTATGATCATAACAAAACCTTCCTTCCGGGATCAGGCAAAAAAAAAAAAAAAAAAAAACAAACTTGAGAAAAGGTCTTTCTGGATGCAACGGGCAATCGCTGACCCTCCCGTCTCCAGCCAAAAACACACAGCTCGGCCCCGGGGTCCCGAGCCCTCGGAGGACGAGCTGCGCCCCGGCAGACCCTCCGGGGGGCCCCCGGGCCGGACACCTCGGCCGCCCGCTGCGCCGATGCAGCCCGCGGCCGCCCCGGCCCTTCCCTCGGCCGTCCCGACCCCAGCACTGACCTTCCGCAGGGCCGGGACCAACAATCCCCGCCATTTCGGGCTGTTCTCCTCGCTGAAGAACTCGTACAGCTGCGGCGCCTGCTGCATGGCCCCGGCAGCAGCGCCTCCGCATCGGGGGCGGCCCGTGGGCCGGGCCGGGCCGATGGCCTGACAGGCAGGGCACGGGCCGCCTCGCCTCGCCTCGCCGGCGGCCGCCGCCTGCCGCCCGGGCCCAGGCGGCTGGGAGGCGGCGCCGGCGGGCGGGCGGGCGGGGACCCGGGGACGGCTTCCTCGGCCCGGGCGGCCCCGCTGTCGCGCAGCTCCCTCAGAGGAAGCGCCGCGGCCCGCGAGCCCGGGCGACCCCCGGTGGCGACCTCCTTTCGCCGCGGCGCTGGCCGGCTTCTCGGGCGGCTCCTCCTCCTTTGTCTGGGTCCGAAGCCCTGAAGGTTTCAGCCGGCCTCACCCCCGCCCAGACTCCCGCTACGGCCGCGGCGGGCGGAGAGCGGCGGCGGCGGCGGCTGCTGCTCGTCTCCTCATCGCCTCATCCCCGCCCTCTCGGCCCGCAACACCGCCCGGCTCGGCCCAGCCCTGCCCGCCCGAGTCACCTCCAGAGGGCCCTGCGGACTGACGGGGCGCGCGCGTCGGGCGGGAGAGCCACACTCGCGCGGACGGAGCTGGCCGCCGCCGCCGCCGCCGCCGCCCCTTCAGCAGCGGCGCAGAAAGGCCGGATCCACACGTACAACTTCCGGAGGCTACGCAATAAATAGTTAGGTTCCGGCCTTTCGGTCTGGCTTTTTTTGTGCCCGGCCCCCCGGAGAAAGCCCCGGACGGGGGGAGACCCCCCCCGAGCTTGGCACCGGGCCGGCCAGGCGCGGAGGTGCTGGGGCCAGGGGGCCCGCCGGGGGGTCCGCCTCTCCCGGGAGCTTCGCCTATTCCAGACAGACTCGGCAAAGTTACTGACTCTTTTTACGCATACTCTTCTTCCTCCCCTCTAGCTTCCCAAGGCAATCGCGATTCGGTGCGGCTCTTGAGGAGTCCGTGGACTGCGGTGGTGGGAGACGGTCTAGGGTTGGTGAGGGAAAAGGGCTTTGGGGTTAGACACTGTAATTAACGTGTTTGTGGCGGACTTGGCTCCTTTGGATATAGGAGACGGTAACTTTCACTTGGTGATGCTGTGGGGAGCCGAGAAGAGACGGCTTGGAAATCTCTTAGCCCTCGGTGGCAGGGCCAGAAGTGGCAAATGACAATGACGTCCATCAAGCTTGAAGTGAAAGGTCCCTCACTTGCACAGGCCCCTGTGTGTTCACAAAATCAGATCGTTAAAAAAAAAATCAGTAGATATTTTTGAGCTATTAATCTATCCTCCACTTTGTGTAGGCTTCGGGTCCTACCGAATCTGGATCCGATCCTGCGAGGAGGTATTTACTCGTTAGCAACTCCCAGTAAGATCTCTGACAAGCTTTTCCAAGTTGAAGAAGCATAGACTCTGGAAACTGTATGATTAGCACAAATTCCATCTCATGAAAGATACTGAGCACATGACTATTAACCTGCTGTAAAGAGGACAATCAGTCCTTCACGCCCTGTCCCTGGCCACCAGTGAGGAAGGGAAAGACAAGCTCCAAAAAACCAAGTCTGTGCCACAATTTCAGGCCCAGGACCAGTGGCTGAACAATTATCCTCCCCCCAAAAACGCATGGTGTGTTCAGCTTGGCAAAATCAAAAGGGCAGAGTGGGAAAACTTAAAGAGATCATTTTTAATCAAGTACCCAATGAGTCAAGAATGTCGTGTAATAAATGGGCACATCCACATTCCCCGCACTTGGGATAGTGGAAGCTTGTATTTCTACAATTAATCTTAGTGTGTGAGGGCTAAGACCTGCTTATATACAGTGTCCTCACTTCTCTCTCCTGTTCCCAGCCCCCAGCCATAAACTACCAGGCTGTCGCTGTATCTTCTCCTGGGAGAGTCAAGTTGTTAGTGGTAAGTTTCATTCTTGGCCAAGGATATTAGAAGGCTTTTTCTAGGGCAGATCTGGCCTGAAGACATATTTTGTTTGGCCAAGGTTGTATTTAAGTTTTTGACATTGTGGTTCACATTTTACAACCCAGAGATTACATATAAAAATGTGTATTTCCAGCTTCTCTTGACAAAGATCCAGCTACAGGGAGTCCTACGGCCTTTACGCAAGGGAATACTGAGCAGGCGCAGGTAGTGGCTGCCCTCTTTAGAAAAGTATGCCATCCCATTTCCAGTTGGCTGTCCTCCCCACCTGGCACTGCTCACTCTTTTATGTAACCTGCCCAGTCTCTGCAGGCGCCTGAGTTGTGATCTCTGGGCTGGAAATATGATCCATGTGGGATCATCCAAGAGTGACACCAGAAGAGTTCCCCAACCAGACAAATGAGCCATCCAGAAAAAAATATTAGATTCATACCCACACTCGACACGAGGATAGATTCCAGATATGTCAAAGATTTAACTGTCAGAAATAAAGCCATAAAGTTATAAGCTCAGAGTACAAAAGACCTTTTCATATGACACAAAATCTAGAAGAGAGATAAATTCAACTTTAAAAAGAAAGCCATAAACTAAGCCAAAAGGCAAATAGCAAACTGGAAAAAATATCTGTAGCTCATCTTTGAAGAGTTAATTTCTTTAACATATAGGCAAGGTTTTACAAATAAAATTTAAAATAGCCGGCGCCGCGGCTCACTAGGCTAATCCTCCGCCTAGCGGCGCCGGCACACCGGGTTCTAGTCCCGGTCGGGGCGCCGGATTCTGTCCCGGTTGCCCCTCTTCCAGGCCAGCTCTCTGCTGTGGCCAGGGAGTGCAGTGGAGGATGGCCCAGGTGCTTGGGCCCTGCACCCCATGGGAGACCAGGAAAAGCACCTGGCTCCTGGCTCCTGGCTCCTGCCATCGGATCAGCGCGGTGCGCTGGCCGCGGCGGCCATTGGAGGGTGAACCAATGGCAAAGGAAAACCTTTCTCTCTGTCTCTCTCTCTCACTGTCCACTCTGTCAAAAAAAAAAAAAAAAAAAAATTAAATTAATGGGGGAAAGGATAAAAGATATGAAAATACAGTTCACAGAAAATGAAACCTAAATGTCTCTTAAACACATTAAAAATGCTGAAGCTTACTCTCATTAAAAAACTACAAATTTGGGGTGGGCACTATGGCATAGTAGGCTAAGCCTCCACCTGCGGTACTGGCATCCCATAAGGGTACCAGTTCAAGTCCTGGCTGCTCTACTTCCAATCCAGCTCCCTGCTAATGGCCTGGGAGAGCAGTGGAAGACGGTCCAAGTGCTTGAGCCCCTGCACACATGAGCAAGACCCAGAAAAAGCTCCTGGCTCCTGGCTTTGGGTCAGCCCAGCTCCAGCTGTTGTGGCCATTTGGGGTGAACCAGCGGATGGCAGACCTCTCTCTGACTCTCCCTCCCTCAATCTGTAACTGCCTATCAAATAAATATATGTATATTTTAAAAAAAGAAAACTGCAAATTTAAATTACATTGTTAATTTTTACACTTAATTTTTTACCAATTAAAATAACACAAATCAAAATGGTTGATCATACACTATGATGGTGAAGATATGGGGAAACAGGCACCCTAATATATAATTGGTGGGAAAATAAAATATTTTTAAGTTTTTGTTTTTATTTTATTTGAAAGGGAGGAAGGGGGAAAGAGAGAGAGAGCGCACAAGGGAGAGGGAGAGGGAGAGGGGGAGGGGGAGGGGGAGTATCTTCCATCTAGTTAAAAATAACCAAACCTCTGTGGAACATTCTCCAAGATGTGCTGCAAAGTGGAAAGAACAGGCCATACTTATGCAATACAGAATAGAATATGGTACCACTCATATTTTTTTTAAAAAAGAGACTGTATTTTATTATAAATTATTTATCTGCAATGCCACACAAGATTTCTGTTGCCACAGGGATGAAAACGGTGGCTGGAGGACAGGGAGAGACTTTACTGTGTACTTTTTTGTGACTTTTGAATTTTTAACCACATAAATGCAGTATTTATTCAACATATTGCTTAGTTAAAAGTAACTTCATGAAAAATTTCGAGTTCCTTATATATATTTGCTTCAAGTGTGAAAAAAATGCAAGTATTAAGCCTGTGCATACTATAAGAGGGAGGGTCTAATAAAAAGTTCGATCATAAAATTTAAACTAAGATTAATATTCTAACTACTGTGGTAATAATTTGGTGCAACTTTGCATGCTTTTTTTGAAATGTAGAGTTATTTTTTGGGAGATCATTCGAATGACCCAAGCAAATCCTAGGTTTTAAAATGCAGTTAATACTTACCATAAATCTCTCATTGAAAAACATTGGCTAGGACTTACTCAACATTTCTCCCATTTACTCTCTCATACTTCCTCAATTTATTTAAAGCTACAAGTGCTGCCAGTCAGCAGCAAACCAAAGCAATACCACAGGAAACAATAAATGTTGTTGTCCCTCACTGCCATGGTTCATTGCCATTGCTGGCTGTTTTTCTCACAGTTCATCTGCATCAAAGAAGTCAGAGCAAGTGCTCAGGTGATCCTTTGCCCTTTGACCCTTCAATGAGACTCAAACTGAGAAACCCCACCCCTGCACTGCAGAGCATCAAAAAATGTCTTCTCAGGAGGAACTGTAATTTTTTATGAAATTCCATGACTAATTTTTTAAAAATCATGCTCCCCTCTCCCCAAAGCATTGTGTCTTTGTTTCATATGAGAAGGGTCTTCAGAAGGTTCATGAAAAATGGAATTAAAAATGAATTTATTTTGGTGCAAAATGTTTTGAAATCCATGTATATATGGAGTCTTCAAAAAGTTCATGGAAGGCGCCGGCACTGTGGCGCAGTAAGCTAAGCCTCTGCCTGTGGCGCCCACATCCCATTCAGGCTGCTCCTCTTCCAAAGCAGCTCTCTGCTAGGGCAGAGGGAGCAGAAGATGGCCCAAGTGGTTGGGCCCTGCACCGGCGTGGGAGACCCAGAAGAAGCTCCTGG